TGTGTGTGTGTGTCTGCCTACAATATAAAGTTATTTGCAACAACAACAAAAAAACATGGTGGGGCTTTTTGCTGGGTTTTTTGTGAGGGGGGGGTGTTTTGTTTGTTGTTTTTGGGGGGTTGAGGTTGATGTGTTGTTGTTGTTTTAATTAGACAGGCTAAAACTATAGTACATAGTTTACTACATGCCAGTTCAATTGGTTCAGGGCATCTCTCAGTTGTTTACAATCGAGACAAAAACCTACCAAACCCCAGGTGATCATTGTTACTTATCATCAAAGCGTATTGCGTGTGGCTCGGATCATTCATATTATCTTCTAACTCTGGTGATTATTTCATGTAAATACAATGTATGTTAAACAGGAGCGAAATTTTATGGAGATTTGTGATAGCTCAAATTACAATGTAGTTTGTGTACAGAGAAGGAATTTGTTGTTGATATTGTTGTTTTCGTTGTTATTATTATTTTAAAAAATTTTTTTGCTGTTGCTGTTGCTGTCGTTGCTTTCGTCGTCGTTGTCGTTGCTGTTCCTACTTCTGCTACTATTGTTCTTGTTTGTGTTGTTGTAGTTGTTGTTGTTGTCGTTGTTGATTATGATGATCATGCTGTTGTTCTCGTTTTTCCTGCTGCTGATACTGCTGATGTTGTTGCTGCTGCAGCTGCTGCTGTTGTTATTTGGGTTGTTGTTGTTGGGTTATTTTTTACTTACTTGTTGTTGTGATTTTGTTGTTGGTATTGGAATTGGTTATTGTGTTAATGTTACAACCTTTGCTTTTGGATCAACTAAAATTGCAGTGATAGAAATAGTGACGGTACGAGCAAAAGAAGCAACAGCAGCGGTAGAAGTAGCAATCATAGTAGTAGTAGTAGTAGTAGTAGTAGTAGTAGTAGTAGTAGTAGTAGTAGTAGTAGTAGTAGTAGTAGTAGTAGTAGTAGTAGTAGCAGTAGTAGTAGTAGTAGTAGTAGTAGTGGTAGTGGTAGTAGTAGTAGCAGTAGTGGTAGTAGTAGTAGTAGTAGTAGTAGTAGTAGTAGTAGTAGTAGTAGTAGTAGTAGTAGTAGTAGTAGTAGTAGTAGTATTTTCCTCTTTCTTCTTCTTCAGCATCATCATCATCATCA